AACTAATTTTCTTACAACCCCACAGTAACTGCTAGTATAAGAGATCTGAATCTACCTTAGACCTCGAAGCCCTTTCTGTATTAGCAGCCTAAGAAGAATGCATAAAGAGAGAGTAAGTGGCAAAGATGTTGGAACAGTGAAACGATTGTACACCATAAAGTCCTGCTGCAAAACGGGAAGAGACTAGATGGAAGTTGCCTTTAAGCATATTTTAGGTAACATGTACTTTGACTACTCATTGTCATGCAAATGAGAAACCCAACTGTTTGGAACACAAGGCAATGAAATGACGAAGGAACAGCTTGTAGTGACAGAAAGTCATCAGAAAGCATGACAAAGGTCGGTCTTCAAACCCAACCTGTAAGAGAATGATTCATGCAGCTGGGGCCCAAACAGGCTGGCAGGTGGGTTCTGCAAGAGGAGGGCCCCTGTCAGTAGGCAAGGCGTGCGAGCTGATGAGATGGCAGAGGGGCTCATCCTGAACTCCACTGGGGCAGGCTTCAGTGTCCTGTGTTGTAGACTATGGAAGCGGGGCTTGGCCCTGACAAAAAGACTGGGAAATTTTACCCTCTGCCCTGACACTTCTCAAACCGATCACCTCCTGGGTAGAGAAAGCCACAAGACAGCAGAACATTGAGGATGAGCTCTTCAGTTCCCATAGATTAGGAGAGAAAACTGAGGGTCATCTCACCTGTATGGTTAGTTTCCAAGTCGGTCATGTCGATGGAAGAACCTTCCCGTGACATTTCAACGAAAGCATCATACTCGTCCTTGAGAGGCTGGCGTTTCTTTGATCTAAAACTACCAACCAGTCGTCTGAATATTCCTGGACCTATATGCATGCCATACAAACCCTGGTGAGAAAATATCCCTGGGAAGATGCTCACCTAGAGAATGCAGGCTCTTGTTAATTGTGGACCTATGGGGATTGTAACCATTCTTCGGGTAGGACATGCTCTGGTATGAGTTGGGTAGAGATCTGGGAGGATGGTAGGGAATAGGGCTTTGTATGAGCTCAAAAAACACAATATAGCCACTGACACTGAGGCATCCTATGCTCTCTGCTGTAGGCAAAGGGCCCTGATGATTTGAGACATATGCTCCTATCCATGTCAGCCTCAGTCATCATCTTTACTGTGCATTTTTTTCTTCTCCCAGGAGCCCAAATCCTGCAGCTCCGTGCCCTTCCAATGGTGTCCTGCTGACACATGACAATGATCTTTTCTGCATCTTTAGTTTCATTATCGGAGGCTTCCTTCAACCACTCATCTCAACTTAAAACTAATGTTTCCTCCTAGAAATCTTTTCTCCCTCTATCCTTCTCAAATGGTGGTTGTTCCAAGTACCAGAACCCAAGCATCCAGGTTTGAGAGGTGAGGTAGGTGGGGTTGGCAACCTCTTCAGTCCCAATGGCCACATCCATAGCATGACTCTTCACCTTCACCTAAATTACCTTCCTCGTAGCCACACTGCTGTCAACCTCCAACTTCTTTGTCCCTTTTCAACATCCACTGAAGTACCTGAAAACTAGATCGAAGACTTTCACTTCCTTGCAAAGTCTGCCATCATCTTTAGAGATTAAGCACCCATGTACATAACCTATCCAACCCCCTAATTCAAAGCTTCTTGTCCTCCTCAAATCAATTAAATGGCTTCAACCTCCACTCTACGCCAGCCACTCCCTCCCAAGTCAGAATCTGGTTATCAACCAGAATTATTCCACCTGTAAAAAACTAATTGAAAAAATATATACTTTAAAAATAGAATATCCAGAAATTCCAAACAAGATGGTGGTACCAATAAATGCAGTATCCTTGCCTCCTCCCACAACCACATCAAAATTACAACTCAACTACAGAACAACCATCATTCAGAACTGCCTGAAATCAAGCTCATTGGAAGTCCTAGAACCATGGAATTAAAGAAGAAGCCACATCCAGACTGGTAGGAGGGATTGGTGCCACATCCATGTGGGGCAGATAAAAACTAGGGGGGATGTCTTAGCCATACAGGTACCCCCTGAGGAGCAAGGAATCCCTGCTCCACACCAAGTCCCCAGCCCAGGGTTCCAGTGCTGAGAAGAAAAGTCCCCATAACTTCTGCTTATAAAAAAACAGTGAGGCCCTAACCGGTTTGGCTCAGTGGATAGAGCATCGGCCTGCGGACTCAAGGGTCCCAGGTTTGATTCCGGTCAAGAGCATGTACCTTGGTTGCGGGCACATCCCCAGTGGGGAGTGTGCAGGAGGCAGCTGATCGATGTTTCTCTCTCATCGATGTTTCTAACTCTCTATCCCTCTCCCTTCCTCTCTGTAAGAAATCAATAAAATACATTTAAAAAACAACAACAACCCCCCCCCCCCAAAAAAAAACAGTGAGGGACGAGGCTGAGGGAGACAGAGGCTGCAGGAGTCCCAAGCAGTTCCTCATAAAGAGTCCACATATGGACTAACTCGGACTTACTCCTCAGAGCTCCAGCATGGGGCAGCTACTTGATAGGCACCTGAGGCATACAAAGAGGTACTGAATGGCCTGGCATCATAGCAAGAGCTGGATGGGCAGCTTTCTTCCAGACAGAAGTACTGGTAGAGGCCTTGTTCCTTTGCTGAACCTTCCCCTAAAGAGCCAGCAGGTGGCCACCATATCTGAGTCTCCATCAACCTGGATTAACACTGTTAGCCCCACCCTGGTGATTCCCGGAGGCCCTGTCCACACCAGCTGTTTCTAGTGGCTTTACCATCAGAATGGCCTGTCTTGGCTCATGCTTCCTATTTTCCTAAAATCTCTCAAATAAGCAGCATCTGGCCTGGTACCTGTTGCCAAGTGACCCTGGGCCCGGCACTAGCCACAGCCAGCCTTGGTTTGTAGCTTGGTTTCTCTAGGCACCTCCAAGCTCAACACAAGTAGCAGCCATCTGCAGATCATGTTGTAGCTCATGCTGGGTGGCCCTGGGGCAGAACAAAGGCAGTGGCTGACCCTGGCCTGAATCTCCCAGGAGTCCCCAGAGCCAGTGCACCCGGTGGACAGCTTCAGACCATGTCAAAGCATCACCACCCACCACCTCCACAAGCGACATACTCATGGGGTGGACTCAGCGGTACCAGAGTCTCCTTGAACCAAGTCCTGTTCTATGAAGTGGGTCAATGCATAGCTGATCCTCCATGGTGATCTCCGCCAGTCCTTGCAGCTGATCGGCCCCCCTCAACATTCCTTTGACAAAAGCACTGTCTCCTTGAGCATTTCACTCTCCAGTTCTGGTTTAAGTCTGAGACAGCCAGCAATCAGCACCCATTTTCCTAACACTACCAGGTTGTTTGCCCGCCATTTGTGTAATCATTTACCAGGATCAATAGGAATACCTCAGCTTCAGATTTAGGCAGTGTAACTACCTCAATGCCTAATATGCAATTTCCTCTTTCATTTCCCTTCATTTTCCCCCCTTGGAAGTACTTTACGATTTTTCTTGCAAAT